ATATCATATATTAAATTTTAAAAATAAATATACTTATATGATTTGATATTTATAATGTTTTGTAAATATGATTTATTTATAAATATTTAATAATTTAATTATGTTTATTTAATAATTTTGTTCTTTGAATGTATTAAAATATAATATATGATATGTGAAAGAAAAAATAATTATAATAAAAATAGCACTTCTATTATGTATGTATTATTATTTTTTTAAATGGTTCGTCCCATGTGAAAGATAGCAAAGCCAACGGCCTCCCACCTCAAACTCCGTGACTTGTTAAGTTCCTTTGGTCCAAAGGGACCTCGATTTCCCACTACCCCGAGGAAAAAAAAAAAAATTTTATCGCGCCTAACGTATCTTCTTTTCTCTTATGGAAGCCTTTTCGTGTCCCTACAGAAGCTATAATAGTTGTTGAATCCTATGTTGATTAATGCGGAAAATGGGTTTCGGTTTTCATTTCTTTGACTTCTTTTTGTATTTTTTACCTTTTGGATTCGGTAATTAAAACCAAAGCAATAGCATTTTTGTGAGTGAAGAATAGCAGAAATATATTTATTTATTATATGTCAATCCACTGCTTCATTCTATTAATTGAGTTTGATAGTTCATGATGAGCTTTTGTCAACTATCCACCACTAATATGAATTTGAGAAAAATGTCCTTGGTTCAATTGCTCCCCTACTTGCATCCAACTAATTAATGCGTATTTTCCATCAAATCACAAAATTAAAGAGCCTTGAGACTCTTGGCATGACGCGAACTATGTATGCTCAAGGGAAACAAATGCCCCCCCCCCCCCCCCCCTTTTTTTTTACACGTACGTAATTTATCCCTACAAAAATCAAAAAGCCTCTTGGCCTCCCGCTATTTTCAACAGATTATGTTGAATTTTTTTAAAATTAACAAATAATTATGTGAAAAATGATTATGTGCAAAATAAATTATTTTTGCATCATTATATTTTTTATTTATTTATTTATAAGTTTGTCACTCCCATCCCCCTTAAGAACTAAGGCTGGTTCCGCTCCTGACTCTTGGATCTTGAATATGTTGAAAACATGGCAAATCTTTCATGAGGATTCACTCTTATTATAATTGATTATTTTTATCAATATATTTGTATAAATAAGACAGGATATGGTGTTGATTTGAAGAGTTATTATTTTTAGTGAAATATTAATTATCAAAATTATCGAGAGAATTTATTTTTTATTAATGTGAATGTTGGGTCATAGTAAAATTTGGGAAGCTCCATAATTAGTTAGTTATGTGCTCATACATAAAGTTTAAGAATAATTTCTGTCAATTTTTCAATGGGCTTAATAGGATATTTGAACTATAAAGCTTATGTCTTTCCCATTGAACTCAAAGCATATTTTATAAGCAGGGCTTGTCAATATGAAATACGACAACCTTCCCAAATGTCACACCAATTCTCATTATCCTCTCTCTTTTGTTTAGTGATTACTATAAGATATGATTGAAATTTTTTGCATGCTTTGTGTTGGACCCAAATTTGTCCCTAGATGACATCCGACCCTTCTAGCAAGTTATTGATAAGTTAGAGCTTGAAAACTAAGTGATTGATGTGTATATAGTCTCTAGAAAGGTAAGTTTTTTAAAAAGAAGCCATTAACAAAATTTGAGCAAAAAAAGTTCAAAAATTTTGTGTTTGTGTAGTGGATTTTAATAATTTAAGCAAAAAATAAATATGAATTTTAAAGATATTGTTGGCTTAAGAAAAATGACACGAATGCACGAATCCCGCTTTACAGCCATAGGATTCCATTTCCCTTAAGTCAGATTATAATTAACCAGATTTTCCCTGAGGGTAGTGTCAGGGTTTAAAGATCTGCGGTTCTTACTTCCTATGAGCGCAAGCACTCATAGTTAATTACCCCTCTTACTACGTAAGAGAGAACTATCGACTAAGGATGAATAATTTTTATATAATTTTAGTCTCAATAGTAGGAGAAATGGAGGTAAACCCAATCAAGATCCCATGGTTCCGTCATCCCAGGTATACCGTAGTTCCAATCTATCAACACTGACAATCCTTGACTGTAGTGTCCAGGAAATATGATTAGCAGCCATGGGTTGCCTCCTCTTTAGGATCCTGAATAGACTGAAGTGGTTAAGTGTGAGTTTTAATTTTGTTAGGTGTTTTGGGGTTTACTTCTATTAGAATACTCAAAAATTTATTTAGTTTGGGATTTACGACTTTGTTTTAGAAGTTATCCAGGAGTTTGGTTTGAAATGGGACTTATGGCTTCTTTAGGAAGTGGCCCAGTGGTTTGGATTTAGATTGGGACTTATGACTTTCATAAAAAGTAGCTCAGGAATTTAAATTTAGAATTGAAACTTATTAGTCTATTTATGAGTTGCCCAAGGATGTGTTTATGTTGGGGCTTACAGCTCTAATTAAGAGTTGCTCATTAATTTGTTTATTTGGGACTTACGACTCCAATTAGGTTTTGCCCGTCTGATTTGATTTGGGTAGGAGCTTATGTCTTCCTTAGAAGATTCCTGTTAGTTAGGGGCTTATAGCTCCAATTAAGAGTTGCCCTGATAGTGGGACTTACGACTTCTTTTATAGGTAGCCCGTAGAATTTTGGTTAGATAGGTCTTA